CGGGTCAATTTCGGGTTTGACCCGAACCCGACCCGTGACCCGAAATTGACACCCCTAATTGGATCTTCAATTGGAGAGAAAGATCTAGCTCTCCCAAATCTGTCGGCTAGTGCCCAAATAACCTAAAGAATAAACTAATTCATCAAACTCCCAAAACATAATTTGAAATCACCGTATTGTTAGCTTTAAATAAACTCCTCTAATTCCCTCTCAAATTTGAATCAAATTAGATATGTTGCCCTAAATAATTCCCTCCCAATTGTAATTATAACTTTCCTAAACAATTCCCCATTGATTCCTCCTCCCTTTCCTAAATAATTCCCTCTTAGAATTTGAATTCAAATTAGATCTTTTGCCATAAATAATTCTCTATCAATTGTAATTAAATTTTTTTTAAATAACCCCCTTTGATTAATAACATTCCTAAATAGTTTCATCTTAATTAAGAAACTTTCTAATTCCCTCCCAATCAAATCGGCCGGTCTATCAGTCGCTTATTAGAGCATTGGGACACCTCGATCGCCATCAAAATGACTTAAAATTATATCCAGTTGTGAAATAGATCACATTGATGCGTTTAGGACATCAAATTTGCTAAGGAAGAGTCATTCATGCATAACTCAATCGAAAATGATGACAAGCATGACTATTGGCAAGCACGACGCTAGCAAAACCTACTCATATGATGTTCGATCGTTAAGCGGACTGTGCAGATACGATCAGAGCATCAGATTGCTTTGATCGTAAGCATTGAAATCATATTGGGTGAAGACGATTGAAATTGAAAGGCTGCAGACAAAACATTGTGCGACGTTGCCCAAATGTTGTCAGTTTGCAAAATGGATTTCACCGTTGTGTTCGAAACATTGAAATCATATAGAAAAGGTTGTAATATTGCCCGTGCTATTGAATGTGATAAAAATCGATGGACTACAGAAGAAATGTCGTGCAGCGTTACCCGAATGACTTGGTGTCAAAAAAAAAAACTACTAGTTTTCGGGTCCAAAAATGGGCCAATCTCTGCTTTTCAGGTCAATTTTGGGTAAAAAAACAGGTCAATCTCGGGTTGTCGGGTAAAAACGGGTCAATTTAGGGTCAAAGGGTCGACCCAAATCCGACCCATTTTTTTGAAACGGGTCAAATTGTTGAACCCAAACCGGCCCTTTTTAGGGTCAGGTTGACCCGAACCCGAAATTTTCCGATCGGGTTTGAGTCGGGTTTTCGGGTTGTGTCAAATATTGATACCCCTATTCTTTAGATTAATCTCTTGCCAGTAAGGAAGTGTCATATGCCTTCGAACCGGTGGTTTTACCATAAAATGGCATGGAAAATAAATGATTATGACTTGGCCCCTCTAACCGGGAGATTTTGTCGCAAAATGGTATCACTAAATTATGGTCATGTTCAAAGCCTGTATTTTTCCCCAACGACTCTACATTTTTTAGTAATGAATCAATAAAATATAATTGATAGGACGCAAAGCTCATTTTTAGCTAAGATGGATTCAAATTTATCCTCTTAGGCAAACATTCATCCCAAATCTATAAGGTCCCATTGTACGAAGCAACCCATGACTCCTGACAAGGATCCTTCGGTCAGGTTGGGTTGATTACCTCCTCTGACTAAGTAGACTAGGGACCATGATGACCCGAAACGATAGAATCATGGGGGATCTTGATCGGGTTCATCGTCATTACCCCTACCATCCGCTTTAAGTGCGCAATGATGAGTTTCAATTTTCAATATCTAATTTTTTTGTTGCTGTATGTTGGATACTACGTATTTGTTCAACGACTGGCCTTCATTGAAAGATCTCTCTCGTTATCGGGAAGTGTAATTAACTATGGGGGCTTGCGCCTATAGGAAATCTTAACTCAGATTATAAAGTCCCCTCAAAATGAGGAAGAAATATCTAGGTAATGTCTTATCTAAAATTCCAATCGGCCTTTTGAAAATTTATCTCAAAACCTAAATTCGTTAAAATTCTCCTCACCGAAAAACTCAAAGAAAGGGTCGCCGATAGGCCGGAGCACGAATTTTCGAAGCCCCCGATTTGCAAGCGGCTATTTTAATGTTATGCTATGTCCCCATTTCCGTATCATGTTGTGTTTGTTTCTAATGTCAGTGCACCTGCTTGATAACTTGATACATAACATTTTTCATTTTTCATATTTTTTTTTTTTGGAAAAAAACAGAATGCAGATCGTGTGCTTGGCATTGCATAAATTTTTTTTTTTTTTAGTTAAACAGTGATTTTAAGTGTTTCTTATAAACTTGTATGTGTTTATATCAATTATGAGTTTTGAATATTTCAAATCTTTTTCGGATTGTCAAACATTTAGTTTGTGATTGAGGAACAAAATATTCAATTTTCTACCTTAACAATGCTTTTAATGGTAGTTTGTCAAATCCTAATGTTTTAATAGAATAATCTGACTTCCCTCACATTCTCATATTCGGAACATAGCCTTAATATTCATCTATCTCTCATCCTACGCTTTCCATTTTATCTCTTTGCCAGAAATATTTTATACATTGCTTTGGAAAAGTTTATTACAGTACTAACCTTTTTGTGGCTCATTATTATTAGGGTTGCAGTATTGGTAGCTGCAATTGTTTCATGAAAAGAAGCCTCAGCGAAGGTTGAATTGGCATTTGCCTCATTTTTAATAGGCCATTTTGTCTCCCAGAATTTGATAGAATCAGAAAGGATAACTACTTTATACAATAATTGTTTTTCTAACCATTTTATATAGATATATGTTGTATAGCTCTTTTTACTACTTTTCAAATGTGAAGAGATTGCAGAATTAGTATATAGCTGCTTAATTGGATGAATGGATCTTATGAAAACTTTTATCAGTTTAATTTCTGAAATTTTATATTCTGCAATATTTTTTAACTAAGGTTTCGTTTGATATGACTTTTTTATTGCTTTTGAAAATATTTTTTAAATATAAAAATTAAAAAAATTTATGTTAGAAAATTATTTTAAAAAGCAGAAAGAAAGACATCCCAAATGAAGGCTAATACTTTGACATATTGGTAAGCCAATTTTGTGAATGTTAAATAACATTTCTGTCATTTTATGATGTAATTTTTTTTTTTTTGGTATTACTTCGATCATTAGTATGTTTGTTGATAGCCGTATAATTTATATTAATTTTTTTTTATTATTTATGATGGCATTTTATGTAAAGCTCAATCTACAACAAAAAAACTTTATTGTTGAATTTTTTTTTTAAATTAAATAAAAGGCTTAACATAAGTATGGCTAGGTTTACATTGTAGTAACTTAATATTATTTTTAAATTAAAAAAATCATTAATTTTTTATTATCGCTAATAAATAACAAGAGTTGCTTACCATTAAAAAAAAAAGCTTGAATAGATGCATTCACTTCTAAAGAAAGAACAAAATTATGAATCCATAAATTTCAGATGAATACAAAACTATGAAATATAGAAGCTCAATTCAGAACCTTCCTCTTTCTCTAATTATATTTCATTTAGAAAAAAAACAGAAAACAATTCATTCTCCCCAAAATACTATTACAAGAATCATTTTTAACAATGAATTTTATTAATGCATGATACCAACATGAAGATCTAATCGTTTTCATTAGCAAATAAAACCTTGAACATTAACAAACTTATCAATTATAAAAGCTCAATTTGACACCTTCATTTTATTATAATAATAGAATTATGTTTCATTCAGATAAACAATTCATACCTCCCAATGAAATATTACAAAGCCTCACTTCTTAAAAAAAGAATGTCAAATGTATATGATCACAATGAACATTCTATTTCTTTATTTTCGAATTAAACCTTGAACACTTGACTTTCTCATTTAAAAACTAAAATGCATATGACAACAATGACCATCTTTTTTTTTTTTTTTTTGCA